ATATATAGACAGATAGATATACAGGTAGATATATATAACCATAGACAGCCAGATAGATAATTAGATAAGAGAGGCAGATAGAAAGATATAGATGTCATCATTATTCATTCTGCATTTAAAAATGTGCGTTGGTTTTAATTTCAAAGATGTATATACGTCACCGAAACATTTGTTTACACATTTTTATATTTCTAAAGGCATATCCAATTAACAAAATTTAGTGTTATAACAAATAAAGTAAATTATAATAATCCTTTATAAATGGTTTGTTTGCTTAAATGTCCTCCCATGTACAGGTAAGACTTAGTGCTTGTATTCAAAGTCATGCTTTTCCCTGATATTATAGATTGTAATGCTTGAAAAGTGTACACATTGCTTTTACATATCCGAATGCGATACGCAATACTTTGATTGAGCACAGTGCAGCCAGCGGTGCCCTTGTAACCTCTCCAGGTATTAACACAATTCCCTGCGAGGACTGCTCTGAATTTTACATAGGCGAAACCGGTAGAGCTTTTGAAAAAAAAAAAAAATAATGAGCATAGACGTTATACTAGATAGGCCAGAGAATCAAATGCCTGTTTTATTCGCTTACGTGACGAAGGGCATCAGCTTAAATGGATAGACGTCAAATTAATTAATAAATCGTCAAATTCTTATGATAGAAAAATGTTTAATAGCCCTACTTAAAAAGATTGACTAATTCTATCTTGAGTGCTGGTCAATGGGATTGGACGACCCTACATCATCATTAGTTAGTAAAGCCTTCCCCAGACTCTTCGACCTGCCCCTGAGACCTACCACTATATAAACGTGTCAATATTCTCTCCTTGTATCCTGTATTTCGGTTTATTATTCGTCTGAAGAGGAACTCGAGAAGAGTTCGAAACGTCATGTTTGTTTTCATATCTTATTGTGGCTGTTTTATTTTCATGTGTATTTATATTTATATGTGTATGAGCATATGCACACACACACACACACACACACACACACACACACACACACACACACACACACACACACACACACACACACACACACACACACACCACACACACACACACACACATATATATATATATATATATATATATATATATATATATATATATATATATATATATATATATGTGTGTGTGTGTGTGTGTGTGTGTGTGTGTGTGTGTGTGTGTGTGTGTGTGTGTGTGTGTGTGTGTGTGTGTGTGTGTGTGTGTGTGTGTGTGTGTGTGTATATACATAAACATGTATATGAATATACAACTATTACTTTATGTGAGCATATAAATGATATCCATACCTTATTGCGCTAATAGCTGGGCAGGTCACTGCACTCCAGGTAGGAGGACACAAACACATGTGTAAAGTCACTTTCGAGATATGCATGGTCTTCATATAGGAGCCATCTAAGTAAAAATAATAAGAAAAAAAAACTTTCATAATATATATAATATTCCATAGAGAGGTAGTAAGATATAGATTGACAGATGAATAGACCATGAGTTCCCAACCTTGACCAATCATCTACTTGCTGGATAACCATGAGAGCATCACTGTGATTATATATATATATATATATATATATATATATATATATATATATATATATATATATATATATATATATATATATATATATATTATATTATATGATTAGATGGATATATGATTTGTGCATATAGGTGTGTATGCACAAATGCCGAAACTTACGCCCCGTGGCCACAAATGGATTCTGTTGCATCGTCGAAGTTGTAAACCTTGAGGTCGTGGCAGTAATCCGTCAGGAACAGAGCCGCTCCGGTCTGCTGCGTGCCGCTGTAGAGGGTGATGTTGGGAGAGCCGCCCCTCGACAGGGCCACCTGACGAAGGGACACGGAGAAAGTGGATATTGATTTTTATGATTTCCCCTTTTTTTGCTGTTGTGTCTCTTCTTAGGCACAATATAATTAGAGGATGAGGGTCACATCAGCTTTAAGAAGCCGATGTGATAACTGAAGCACTATAAAAATACAACCTAGTTGATGCGCACTAAGAATATACTGTGGACTGATTGCAAACAGGATTGTCATTGATATCCAGGCTAAGTAAAACGGACCAAATGGCATCCTATAGTCCAGCCTTTGCCAGATACTTGGATAAATGAATTACGAAATACTCACGACTGCGAACAGAACACAGAGCTTGAGCATTGTGCTTCCTCCTTTCTCCCGAGTTGTGGACATTTGCGTTTTGTACAACTCAAGCACGAAAATGCTGTCACTCAGCTGTTGGTTCTCAAGCTGTTGACTCTCATCTTTTCTTCGCCGTTGTTTCGAGCCTGGGGCACTTGATCTCGTAGCCGGAGAGGTGGATCCTGTAGACGTGGTCCTTGTTGTCTTTGCTAAAATATCTCCAATTACTATGCCTTACCCTTCTCTTGGTCGTAGTCACGCTGCTTGCTGGCCATGACGTCTCTCTCTCTCTCTCTCTCTCTCTCTCTCTCTCTCTCTCTCTCTCTCTC